GTGAACTCACTTCCCATATGAGAATCCACACGGGGGAGAAACCGTTTCAATGTGCGGTGTGCGGGAAGGGGTTTAGATTGAACTGTAACCTTACTTTACACAAAGGAGTCCATACCGGGGAGAAGCCGTACAAATGTCTGCAGTGCAGACAGAGCTTCAGCAACAGCCGTGACCTGACTTTGCATAAGAGGAAGCACAAGGGGAAGGAGCTCTACAAATGTATGGAGTGCGGGAAGAGCTTCAGCTCAGGTGGATCCCTGACTTCACACAACAGGATCCACACGGGAGAAAAACCACATGTCTGTACGGAGTGTGGAAAGAGTTTTAGCGATCGCCGTGATCTCCGGAGCCATAAAAGGGTCCATTCAGAGGAGAAACCTTTTAAATGCACAGAATGCAAGCAGGGCTTCCGGTGGAGAAAACAACTGAAGTCTCATCAAAGTATCCACCTGTGGGAGAATTTGTATAAAGGCGCTGAGAATGGAAAGAGCTTCGGTTTCGGCAGTGATCTTCCTTCCCATTTGGGGGAAACTCTATATACATGTACTGTGTGTGGACAGGGTTTTAGTGACCTCGGTGTTTTTCGTATCCATAAAAAAATGCACTCAGTCGAAAAGTCCTATATATGCACGGAGTGCGGAAAGCGCTTCTCTAAGAATTATAAGCTTGTTATTCACAAGAGACTCCACACGGGAGAGAGACCTTACAAATGCACGGAATGTGGGAAGAGCTTCAGTAAGAAGCAGAACCTTACGGTTCATCAGAGGATTCATTCAGAGGAAAAACCCTATATATGTGGCGAGTGTGGAAACAGCCTCAGCACTTTCAACAGCCTCACTGCCCACATGAGGATCCACACAGGGGAGAAACCTTACCAATGCAAGGAGTGCGACAAGAGCTTCAGCCGATGCAGCAGCCTCAGTATCCATAAAAGAAAGCATACCAGGGACAAGCTCTATAAATGCCCCCAATAGGAGCATGAGCCTGGTCTGCTATATGAGAAATGCCACACTGGCAAGAAGAACAATGTGTGAAACGAGCTTCAGTAAATGCGGTAGCTTCGCTTCCCATCAAAGGATCCATTCAAGGGAGAAACTCTTTTTATCAGTGTATGACGTGCGGGAAAAGGTTGAGGCAGAGCAGCCATCTTAGTTCCCTTAAAAGGATTAATTCAATGAACAATTAACCAGTGGAACCACTTGCCTCCAGAAGTTGTGAATGCCCCAACACTGGAAGTTTTGAAGAAGAGACTGGGCAGCCATTTGTCTGAAATGGTATAGGGCAGGGGTAGGCAACCGTGGCTCTTTTATGACTTGTGGATTTCAACTCCCAGAATTCCTGAGCCAAGTCCATGAGTCATAAAAGAGCCACGGTTGCCTACCACTGGTATAGGGTTTCCTGCCTGAGCAGGAAGACCTCCAAGTTCCCTTCCAGCTTTGTTATTCTGTTATTCTCTGCACTCTTTCCAGAGTCTCAACATCTTTTTTACATTGTGACCGAAACTGGATGCAGGATTCCAAGTCTGGCCTTACCAAGGCGTTACAAAGTGGTATTCACACTAAACGTGATCTCGATTCTATCACACTGTAAATGCAGCCTAAAACTGTTTTGGCTTTTTTGGCAGCTGCCGCAGACAGCTGGCTCATATTTAAGTGATTGTCCACTAGGACTTCAAGATCCTTATTCTATGTTATCCTATCCTGTTTGCAGTTACTACTGTTGAGCCAGGTACCACCTATTCTGTGCCTGTTCTATTCTGAAGGAATTGTGTAAGACAGAGTTCCCCAACTTTTCTGGCTTTGGGGACCTGCAAGGGGGGGGGAGGAGAAGATTCCGCATGAGTAGCAGGCAAGTGCGTGTGTGTGCGCACACAGCTCCATTTGCATGAGCGGCAGGCACACGCCTCCGCTGCTTACACAAATGGAGCATCCGTGCGCTTGCCCACTGCTCAACGCAAGTGAGGATGAACATGCGCACGGTCCCCCGGCACTTAGACGGCCCGGTTCCAAACCGGTTCAAGACCCGGTAATGGGTTGCAGCCAGAGGTTGAGAACCCCTGGTGTAAGAGGAAATGAACTCCAGTTTTATTGCTTGCTTTATTTATGTTTCCTATTGCAGGGTTAGTCAACCTTTTTATACCTACCGCCCACTTTTGTATCTCTGTTAGTAGTAAAATTTTCTAACCGCCCACCGGTTCCACAGCAATGGTGATTTATAAAATAGGGAAGTAACTTTACTTTATAAAATTTATAAAGCAGAGTTACAGCAAGTTAAAGCATATAATAATTACTCACCAACTACTTTATGTCGGACTTTCACTAAGTTTGGCAGAATAAATCTTTATAAAACAACTTAATGTAGTTAAATCTATCTTTTTATTTATACTTTGCATACATAGAAGCATGAAGTCTGATGAAATTACATTTAATTAATTAAATTATTAATGAGATCCCTGAGGCTGATGCTGCGAAACTAAATACTGGATATCTGGCTCAATTTTTGTAAGCAACAAACGAAGGTCTCCTCTTTCAGAAATATTCAGGCGGTTTCTTTCTTTGGTCATAATATGATTAACAGCACTAAAGCCTGATTCCACAAGATATGAGGTAGGGAAAGGTATCAATAAACTGAATACCATTTTCCACATTTTTGGATATAAGACAGGCATTTTTTTACTTTGCCATAGGTTTTCATATCCACCACTATCGAATTTATGTTTACTTTCTTCATCATATCTAATTTCTAACAGTTCTTCTGTTGTATCAGCCTCTTCAATATTTGCGGTAAAAGTATTTTTCTTTTTTTTTCTTTTTTTTTTAATTGAAAATTTTATAAAAGTTTT